TATATATGTGTACTACTGTTGTACTGTTTCATCTCCGTGTATAATTATCGTACTAATTCTGGATTCCTTCGAGAAATTTATACAACTTAATAAACAAGCTAAATAAAGTGTCTGATTTCAAGTCAGTGATTTGACGCGCTGAAATCAAATTCCACGCGCTTATTGGAAGTGACATTAACCAGATATTCTGGAATTAGTTGACATTGCGAGTATTTGTTTTTTTAAGGGTTATTCTCCTGATTATGTGATTTGCGGAGATATTCTCACATGAAAATAGCGGGAACTCTTCTAAAATGAACTATTAATTAATGTTGCCAGGCTTGTTTGGGGCGCAGAGCCATATCCAGGCCCTGTAAAAGCTTCCTTGGGTTCCGTTGCCATGGTATGAACAAATTAAATTCATTAACAACTTGCACCTGTATGATCACATGTTAAAGCATCTCGATTCAGGATCATACCAAAGGGAGACCTAATTTCTTCCTGATGTTCAAAAACTAAAATAATCCACTGATCCAATGCTACAATGATATTCTGTACACCATTTTCAAAATACTGAACTATTTGCTCCATATGGACCTCATAAAAATATTGGAATCAAAACAAAATCCCTTGTTCTTCCTATCAAAAAATATAATTTATTATGATGTTATACCAAAAACAGGTGTAGTGAGAAGAAGACTACTTCAGGCTTATGGAGAGCCTTGGGATTTCCATCATGTATTTTCCTCTACGTAAAATGGCGGAGCTAGAATGCCCCACAGAAATGCCTCCCTAATTTGTTGAGAAGAAGACCTCAATTCTCAATTTTGACTCTTCAGCATGATCAAATAAAGAGTATCAAGCGACAAATGTATGCTGTTGCTTAGTGCTTTCTATAAATAGCTTTCACGCTTCGAATGAATTTCATCTTTTAGTTTTCAACGGATGCTACATAATGCATAATGAAGAAGGTGCAAATCCTTGTCAGTCCTCACGTGCTTTATATCTGTATATAACCTGATATGAAATTGTGTTCTATTTAATTCATTTTCTCTAACCTTGGTAAACGATTAGTTTTCAAAAAAAAGAATTATCTTTATCAAAAGGGAATTTAAGGCTGGAAAGGTAAAATCTTCTGAAAGGACTTCAAAGAGTTCCCAATATTTAGTAGTATTGCAAATGAGGATGAATGATCTAGTGTTTAATTATATTTAAGAAGAATGTATGGATTATATGGGATCAGTATTCATCATAGGACTTTTCATGGAAATGTTTTGATTCTTGTTTATGGCATAGCATATGAGTGATCATTTCTTTTTCAACACATTATGGATTTCTAGTTCCAAATTAACATGAAATTAATAAAATTGATATATGGATCAAGATTATACACGATTTAAAGAAAACTTGGATCGAAATATTAATATTTTCCTTCATTTGAGCCTATCAATAAAAGTATGTGATTTTTCAGCCTATGAACCGATTATTCTGTTTTCCAGTTTGGAAATCTCCCCCCATATTGGCCTCTGAAAGGGAGCCAAATGCACTGTATCAAACTGTGCATCTTGCAACGAGGATTGTATACTCTTTTCTTCATCCTTAAAACATAAAACGAAAAAAAAAGAGCAGAAGTACTAGAGAATTAGAAAACGGAAAGGTGGAATATGTATCCGAAGAAATCTCAAACATGTATGATCACGATGAGAAATAATAGAACTTTAGGAGGATTTCAGCCCTCAATGAGTCCGGTTGAATTCCTGTTGATACTATTTTAAATACGTGTTTTATGTAAGAACGACGAAATTGATACTTTGCATCTTATAACGATTAAGATGAGAAAGAAAGCTTGTTGGAGCATTGCTCGAACTTTTGTTTCAGCTCGTGAGCGACTCTGATATCTTCTTCACATGTCCACACCCCAGGGCACTTCATCATCAGTGTGAGCCATCTCCTCCAAAAGATGAAGATGTGATAGAAACTTATTGGAGAATTCCATAATTATAACTTGTCTTATTTTTTGGACCATTTTCAACTGATGGTACGTGTGTTGTGAAATGGCATTTTTATCAGACGTGCTGTGAATCATATTTTACAGCATCCTCTTCGCATGTATTTTGGCCAGTTTAAAACTTATACAGAAGTAACTTTGCCATTTGATTTATCATGGAGGAATAATAATGTTTAACTGTCGACATCTGAAGCATGTGTCAACACCAATTATAGAAATAAACAGCACATTTTAAGAATAATATTAATACTTATACAATATTAAAATACATGATTTGTGACTATCAGCACTTAACACGAATGTCGACATGCATGAAAATGAAGAGTAGTATACTCAAAGATTATTTGTTCGTTCAGTAGTAGTATGCTCAAGGGAAGGCTTTTACAATATACCTCTCCCTTGCACTCTCATATTCTTTGCATCAGATCTTCATATTCCATAAATACATCGCATCAAGGGTAGCATTATCTTGAGGCTTCAAATTGATCAGTTATTTAAAAAATGAATATAATTTTTACACAAATGAATCCCAAATTATTTAATGATATATAAAATCCTCGTCCATTGGATTTAATATTTTTTTTAAAAGATTACAGTATTTCATAAATCATCAAGATGCTCACATTCCAAAATTTTAAAATTTAGTTATTTCCTTTGATATAACTTTTTTTATTTGGTATGATTGAGTAGTATGAAGTATTTTTTCAAAAAAACTGTTAAATATAATCAATTAACATTGTCAACTTTGCGAACCAAGACATTAGCATGGCCCAACCAGCAAATGGTAATATAATGTAGCCATCAATGGGTTGGGTAAGCCAAGAGTTGGGTTGGTTCAACAACCTTGTCCAAGCATGGATATACAATTAATTCAAATAGGACCTACTAAAATAGGAAATTATTCAAATATATCTCAACCTCTCCAGAGGTCTTAAGAAATCTCCAACCGTTGCATGTAGGAATGATGCCTCAACTTCCTGAAATTAGTCTTCCAATCCTTTGGTTGAAAATAGTATTTTATTTTATTTTATTCTCCATTATGATTTTTTTAGATAAGCCAACCCCCCTTCAATGGAAAGGGGGAGGAACACTACATTTACATTACAGCAATGAGAGGCGTGGCTACGACCCGCATAAATCTGCCCAAGACCCATTCTCTGTTTTTTTTTCTCTCTCTCTCTCTCGCTCTATTCCCATTATCGACGCTGGGGGGTGACCCCCCCTCCTTCCCTTGTGAAGAAGAAGAGCGAGGGGGGAGGGGGGGGGGGGGGGGTGGTGTTCACCGCGGTCCACACTTAAGCTTACTCCAGCCTGCATCCTACACGTGCGTGGTCCCCCCGGGCAACGCGTGACAACACCCCGACTTAGTGGGTGGCGGGGGGGCAACCCTGGTGACTCCACGTACATGCCGACATGGACAGTTGGGAAGGTGGGAGGTCTAACTGTGGAGGTACTACAACCTGTACCAGTGCAGTTCCGGCCGTAGGCCCCCGCCCACACAACATGTGGCGTGCCGGCCTGTAGGGAGAACACTATTCATACCCCTCCATCAATTCGGACAGCGCCTTCATCGCCTCCGGGGGGGCTTCACCTTCACCTCTCTCTCTCTCGATACCTATCCATCTCCATTTGTGAGCGCTTGCATCTCTATATCAATCGATCTCTCTTACATATATACCTTTAAGATACATCTGTTCTCTGTGATACAGATCTTTCTTATGGGGACGTCTTCAACACTCTTCTTCCTCTTCGTTATCGGCCTAACTTCTTGCTTGAGTGTACGGTGTCCCATATCCATACGTCTCATTATATCACACAAGGTTACGTACCGTTACGTTGTGTGATATAATGAGACGTGTTCTTCTCGCCTCTCTCCCTCTCTCTCTCTCTCATACTCGCACCGACCTATTTCATTTCTGTGATATCTTCTTCAGAGACGTGTTCAGTCTGCATTCCATACGTTCGGGTGGTGGATGGGGACCTTAGACGGTCTTTAAAAAAGCTGGGTTCCAGGGTTTCTTAGCCACGCGTTTTCTCCCCCTGCCAAACTGAGTCTCTCAGAGGCTTGCGCTGAGGAAGCTGCCGACCCCAGAGAAAGCTTCTTCCCACGGTGCATCTTCTTCTACGAAACAACGGGTACGAGTATAGTCCTGGCTTAAAGTCGACATATTTAACTAGATCTCCGTCTATTTAGTACATTACCTCTTAGTTTCCGAAGGTGGGAGCTTTTCATAGTGACGGGGGCTGAGAACTTGCTACTATGAAGCTCCTTTGAAGGCTCGTAGCTCCCCTGCGTCTCCCTCATCCCTTAGCTGAGCTCTTCAAAACACCAACGGGACAGCAGGTTGCTGAAGGCCCATAGACCGGCAGTCGCCATTGTCCAGCGTAGTAAAGGATATAGGGTTTGACTAGTCTAGAATAGTGTTCTTACTGGTCAAACTGTCCGAGCAGTGATTTCAGCGGAGAATGGAAGAATTCAATGCCTACGCAGGAAATAGGACACTTAGGGTAACTATGGGGGATTTCTTCCTTGATTTGTGCCTAGGGTTTCAGTTATTCTTGCGGAAAACTCTTACGTCTAAAGAGTTGGGGGCATTCCTTCGTCTTCTCTTTGTATGTTCCAGCTTGTGGCACTTCGATTGAACAACGTCTCATCTCCAATGTTGATCTTGGCGTAGGGCACATCCATGGGAGGCCGTCTATTGATGAGCAGGGCTTCCTCTCAAGATGTATCATTTCTGACGAGCAACCCGGATGGATATACGGTCAAAGAGTCAATACTCAGGTCAAAGTTTTCCCGTCCGTCTTCTTACATTCGATGGGTATCCAAAGGGAGAGAAATCTCACCTCAACGCTCACAACTTTGGCCACCATCAGTGATTCGTTCATCTCCTCAGAAGAGGGTGGAAAATTCAACGTCAGTTTGTGGAGGTGAACATGGGTTACAACGGAGCTTAAGCTTCTTCTGTACTCCTGCAGTCACTCACCAGACGAGCCCCACAAAGATCAGGAGATGGACTTCGATCCACCACTGGCCAGCACCTACAGATCTCTCCTCGAGGGTATGGACTCAAGCGAGGATCACGTCGCGGAGGTCGAGGAGTGCGAGCTACCGCTAATAGACCTTGCTCGCCTCAGCGGCGGCGCAGCCGCGAGGGAGCGGTGCATGAGGGAGATCGCGGTGGCGTCCTCCGAGTGGGGCTTCTTCCAGGTGGTGAACCACGGGGTGCCGGCGGAGCGCTTCGACCGGATACGCAGCGTACAGTTAGAAGCCTTCCGGCAGCCTTTCGAGAGCAAGGTCAACGAGGGTTTCCTCGATTACTCCTCCGAGAGCTACCGTTGGGGGAACCCATCCGCCACCTCCCTCCAGCAGCTCTCCTGGTCTGAAGCCTACCACATCTCCACAATTCCATCTCCCCCGCCGGCTTCACCCGGCACCCTCAGGTACTTTATCACAGTGAATAGATAACGATATCGAGAGAGAGAGAGGTAGACAACAGATAACAGGGCGGAGAGAGAGAGAGAGAGAGAGAGAGAGAGAGAGGGAGAGGAAGGCTGATAAAGCGCTCGGTTATTCTTGAAGGTGCACCATAGAGGAGTACGCTTCTTCAGTGTCGGAACTGGCTCAGAAGTTAGGAGAGATACTAGCGGAGCACCTGGGATGCAGGAGGTCTTATTTCGAGGAGGTCTGCAGCAGCAGCACCAGCTACCTCCGGCTGAATCGGTACCCGCCATGTCCGGCCCCGTCAAGGGTGCTCGGGATGATCGCCCACACAGACAGCGCCTTCCTCACCATCCTCCACCAGGACAAGGTCGGAGGGCTGCAGCTGAGGAAGGGGGAAAGATGGGTCGCCGTCAAACCCATCCCTCACTCCCTCGTCGTCAACATCGGAGACTTGCTAGAGGTAATCTCCTAACTCTTCGGATTACACCGTAGTTCTTTTCAATGAGCAAAGCTAAACCAAGAGATTACTATATATACTTATTTTTATATCATCGATGAATTCTGAGTTCACCAGAATAGTCCCACATTAGAAAAATGATAAAATCCAATGCATAAACCGAGAAACATCTCAGCCTATTCCCAATTGTTGGTTGAATCTTCCAGTAATCTAAACAAGGTACAAAAGCGAATATCTACTCATAGATTATATGCATGATATTTGAACTTTTGGTGTGATAAGCTCAAATGCGGATGTACAGATCAAAGATTGTGTCAGAATATCCCATGCTGCAGAAATATAAACAAATGGCTGTACTCTATTATTGTAATCATATGACCTAAGAAATAAATAAACTAAAGTTCTCAAATGATTTAACATCTTAGATATTCATGACCTGTGTACTTGTCCGTGTGCTAGAGCCGATAAAACTTTACTTTCGCATGAGGACCCCCTTTTTCTTGATGTGGTCGTTTCTAAAAAGGGGTTTTAGAAACTTGAAGCATAATCCTCTAAATAAGCCCTTTCATAGAAGACAGTTTTCTATGTGATTCAACGTGTCATCAAGAACCTGATTCCCAATTTATGTCATTAAATGTATGAGTCTTCGTCGGCACTAATTTATTTATCTTAGACTCAATAATGCTGGATATGTGACACAATGTAATCCTCTTCTATTCATGTGGTGGTAGTTTGGCCCGTGAGAGGTGTAGCAGAACACTCTTAAGCATTGAAAAATAAACAGATGAAGCCCAATTTTGCAATCAAGTATCTGGGTCTATTTTACTCATGTTCATTATTTTGAACTGGATAATAATTTAGCTATCTCCAAAATGGGCTTTTCTGCTACTATTTCCAGAAAGAAATAAAAAAATAAACCGTTTCATTTTGATATACAAACTAGATTTAATTGTAAACAATTTGCTTCAAGTTATAAATGAATCCATTTTTCTCGCTACTACTTAGCTCCAAGTTTATAATCATAAGCCAAGATTAAGTGCTGCACATCGATTTAAAACTTATATGTATACACATAAACCTAGTTGACTTTGTAGCTAATTGCTTTCAGAGTTGTAGGACTGTCGACCATTTGCATGGCAAGACCTAGCTAACTGGAGTTATGTCGAATGCCAGGCCTTGAGCAACGTGGAGTTCAGGAGCGTGGAGCACAGAGTCATGGCGAATCGTGAGGTGGAGAGGTTCTCCATGGCCTTCTTCCTCTGCCCATCTCACGATACGGTGATAGAAAGCGTGAGGAAGCCCTCCGTGTACAGGCCTTTCAGCTTCGGGGAGTTCCAGCACCAGGTCCAGGACGACGTAAGAACCGAGGGCTACAAGGTCGGGCTGTCCAGGTTCCTCGTGGCGCCCAGGTGCACGTAAACCCTAGATGGTGAATCTCCCACACTCCTGCGTATGTTATGAGATCCTTCCCATTTCTCATTCTTCTGCTTCTTGACCTTACACAGAAGAGAGAGAGCCGGGGGGAGATAGAGAGAGAGAGAGAGAGAGAGAGAGAGAGGGAGACAGACAGATATGAAGATGCAAAAAAATGGTACCCGTTTTTCCTTCGTCGAGAGCGAGAGAGACGGAGAGAGAGAGAGAGAGAGAGAGACAGACAGACAGATGTGAACGATGTAATCTTAGTCATGTTTCTGTCCTGTCATTGATGAGGGGAAATGACTGACGAGTACAGCTTAACAGTTTTTCTTGCGAGAGAGAGAGAGAGAGATAGAGAGAGATGTTGAGGGAGAGATTTAAAATGGGTTCGCTGAGTTGGGCCGTAACCTAAAACATTCCGGCCCAATTTTCCACCAGCCCATGATCTGCAAGTGGATTCTCTCCAAGCTCGGAACGAGTCTGCCAGCCAATAAAATAGTTCTGCATGATTCTGATATTATTACTTCAATTTTTCAATTTTTAATCTCTCCAATATAATATCATAAATTAAACGTATATTTTGGCCACCTGCGATGGGTGAGCAACGAAATAATGGGAATAATGGGGAATAGTTTCGCATTTACCACTGATTCTCTCTCTCTCTCTCTCTCTCTCTCCCTCACTCGATGGATGACGACCAGGCTTGAGAGAGGGAGATAGCGAGAGAGAGAGAGAGAGAGAGAGAGAGAGAGAGAGGGGGGGGGGGGGGGGGGCTGGGCTTGGGCCTTTCTCTCCCCTCCCTCTCATGGAGACTCTTTCACAGTCTTTAGGAGTTACTGTATCAAGATCATGTTGATCACAGGTATTTCCGGAAGAGGAAAAAGAACGAGAACCCATCTGGGGGCATCATGACGCGGACGACCAGGCTTGAGAGAGGGAGATAGATAGATAGATAGATAGAGAGAGAGAGAGAGAGAGAGAGAGAGAGAGAGAGAGAGAGAGAGAGAGAGAGAGAGAGAGAGAGAGAGAGAGAGAGAGGGGAGGGGAGGGGAGGGAGGGGGCTGGGCTTGGGCCTTTCTCTCCCCTCCCCCTCATGGAGACTCTTTCACAATCTTTAGGAGTTACTGTATCAAGATCATGTTGATCACAGGTATTTCCGGAAGAGGAAAAGAACGAGGACCCATCTGGGGGCATCATGACGCGGCCGCCACCGGCGACCGCCCCTCCGACGAGGTGGACCGGGCGGCGCCATGAAATCCCCGAGCTCTCCCTCCTTTACAGGATCGCCGCCGGCACTCTCTCTCTCTCTCTCTCTCTCTCTCTCTCTCTCTCTCTCTCTCTCTCTTGCTTGTGTTCACCTTGAGTCAGCATCGCCCTCGCCCATCTTCCCCATGGAGAGCGTGAAGTAGAGGAGAAGGATCGTCCCCATGCTTGACCTGCGCAGAACGGAAGGTCTTCAGAGACGAGGGAGGAAGAAGAAGAAGAAGAAGGGAGGTTAAGGGGCCCACATGGGCGCCTAGGGAGAAACTAGGGTTTTCGTGGGCCCCACTTAATTGATTGAAGCCGATTCGTATATTTATCGTTGCCACAGAGAGATTACTTCTAATGGCGGGCCCCACATTCCCACGCCCCTGTTCGTCCTGGAGCGGCGGCTGATGCCACGTGGCATATAGACGAACATTAACATAATAGAGAGAGAAGATTTTGACTTACAAAGTGGCGAAGAAGACGAGGACACGCCGCGGGTGGAGCCAAGGGGCGGCGGCACGCCGACCGTGGGTCCGCCGCCCCTGCGACGGCGAGACACTCATAACGGCGGCGCCCACTTGTGGAGCAAGCTCCACGACAACGAACTTGTCAGAGACCGCCGCCGCTGCAGAGGCGGCGGTGGCGGGAGGCAACGCGGCGCCACCTGCGTGCATGTGGGCCAGCTTAGCCGCAGTTATTAACCCTCCCTCCAACAGGCCAGGAGAGATCCAGAGAGAGAGAGAATATGATGCGGCGGCCGCCGTCGTGCGGAGGTCAACGGCGAGAAGGGGAATCGAAGGGGACTGACCTCTAGTGGCGCCGCCGCCGTCGTCAGGCGCCGTCCTGTCGGCTCTGTGAGAGGGCTTCCTGGAGAGGGTCTTCTGCAGGGGCTTAAATGGTGGAGGAAGCGGTTGCAGAGAACGGAAGGGACTTTCAGAGAGCCCGGAAACAGAGGATTTGACAGGCTGTTGGATCACTCACCGGCGCTCGAGCGGCGGCGGCGCCGTTCCCCTCGGAGTCAACGAGCATCGATAGCTCCTCCATATCCAGAAGATAACCCCCGTCAGGTCTCTGCAAAATCAGAAAGGGAGAGAGAGAGAGAGAGAGTTGGGCTAAGCTTCAGCGACTTTCTAATGGAACAGTTGTTTTCCCAGGAGGAGGACGATTGCAAGAGAGAGAGAGAGGACAACCTGGGCTTCCGCCATGTCCGTCTGGTTTTTTCTTGAGGAAGGGGAAGTTCTCTGTAAGGGAGGAAGAAGACGATGACGCCAGACGCTTTCTCGCTCTTCTTCTTCTTCTTCACCTACTCCATGGAGAAATCGAGGGGAAACCTGCGTCAACCCTCGGATTATTATTTCCAGTCAGGACCCATGGCGGAAGCAAGCTGGGGAAGAAGAAGATGGAGGGGAGAAGGAAACCCAACCCAAGAAGGAAACGTCACAGACAGCGATTAGAAAGAAAAGGATTTGTCTACTTCTCGGAGGAGACGGAGCAAGGAGATAGATAGATAGATAGATAGAAAGAGAGATAGAGAGAGAGAGAGAGAGGATTTGTCTCGTTATCGGAGGAGGGGGCACCAATGATCTCCAGAGTGGGAGAAGAGAGACGGAGAAAGAAGATGGATAGATCGATAGAGAGAGAGAGAGAGAGGAGGGTCTGTGTAGTTATTGGAGAAGAGAGACGGAGGAACAAGAAGAGAGAGAGAGAGCGATGGAAGGACACGTTGAGAGGGAAGGAGATACCCTCCTTCCACGCCACCGTCGCCGCCGACTGTGCCCACCGATAATCTCGCGCGGTTCCTTCCCCACCGCCTCGGAATGATTTGAGCGGTGGGGTTGGGTGGGTGCTGCCTAAGAGAGAGAGAGAGAGAGATAGAGAGAGAGAGATGGGCTCACGCCATGACTATGCCGGCCACGCCCCTCTTATTAATCCACAGTGCCCCTACTTTTAGAGAGAGAGAGAGAACCTGAGCATCACGCGAAACAATGGAGAGATCGTGGGGGTTGACAGAGACCCGCGATCTTCGGCAAGCTTTTCGCTCCTATCTCCGGCCTGGGATGACTGCTCTCCCTCAGAAATCCGCTGTTTCAGACGAAGAAGAAGAAGAAAGAGGAAGAGGAAGATGAAGATGAAGAAGAAGAAGAAGAAGAAGAAGAAGAGGACGAAGAGGAAGAAAAAAGAAGATGACGAAGAACAGTCGCTGTTTCAGACCGTCATACTGTAAACTAATTGCCGACTTGTGTCAGTCAACCCTTGTAGGTCTCCCCGTGGACTCTCTCTCTCTCTCTCTCTCTCTCCTCTCTCTTTCTGGGCGGCAGTAATGGCGGCACTAAAAATATGAAAGCAGGAGAGGGGAGGCTCCGAGGAACACATGGACGGGGTAGACCAGAGCATGCCCCGGCGCCGGCGGCCGCGGCGGAACCCTAATCCCTAGGGGAATCCGGAGAAGACTAAATCAGGTTAAGAACCGAAGCCCCCTTTATCCCCTCTCTCTCTCTTTTCTCTCTCTAACGGTCCGTTATCAGCCGTCGAATATCGAAGACGTGCGGGTAATGAATGTGCGTTATTTTCATCGGAAGATGTCAGCCGTCTGATTGGAATGAACGGTCGAGATTCGGCGTTATAAAGGTAACTATCAGAAGTCAGAAGTCAACTGGGTGGGCAGGGCCCCCAACTTGCCGTGAATGACGGGAGTTACTGGTCATCCGCCGCTGTCTGGCCGCATTCATCCACTCTTTTCCCGCCTTCCACGTTCCCTTGCCGCTGCGAATCCGATCCCCTCTCTTGATCTTAGGTCAACCCTATCTAACCCTATGGAGAGAGAGAGAAGTGGGAAATGGGCTATCGGGGATCGGCCGTCCAAATAGACCAGCTCTACGTCTCCGATGTTGATCAAACGCTGGTCTTAGGTCAACTCCGTGGAGAGAGAGAGAGAGAGAGGAGATAGAGAGAGAAATGGGAAATAGGCTTACATCCTTTGATGTTGTTTAAGGATGGCATCGCAGCCGTCCAAGTAGACCAACTCTACGTCTCTGATGTTGACCAAGCGTTGACTTTGTCTCCCTCTTCTGGAGGGAGGCAGTTGTGCCCGTCCACATGTCAACCTGAAATACCTCCACGTGATACTGATCAGAAGGTAGCTCAGACCTTGTCCGAATGGGCTTCATAATGGGCCTTTCCGGGCCTGGCCCGTATACAAACCGATCCATAACGGGCTGTGTATTTCATTAATGGGCCAATATAAATAGTAATGAGGATCAGGTCGACTGTGGAGTTCCCAAAGCCCAGTCGAATACCAATGGGCCTTTGTAAGATATTGGCTAAGTAATTGTTCTACAAGTTATTGGGCCGGACATGCCTTTCCTTCCCTTGCCCCTTTCAATGTCGGCCTGAAAGCACCGGCTTCATTCCCTCCTGTCCATCTAGTGCGGCGGCGGCGGCGGCGGCGGCGGCGGGGATGGCCCTTGAAGCAGCGGCAAGTGTCGGGGGGTGTACGGAGTCAACAGCGTGAGGATTTTTCTCTCTTTTTCTTGTGTTGGGATAATTACATCAAGGGGGCTAGGCGGTGGCTTCCTCCTCTTCTCTCTCTCTTTCGCTCTCTCTCTCTCTCTCTCTCTCTCTCTCTCTGCTTCAGTTCTTTGAATTAGATAGGGTTTTCTATTTCCTTCTTCTTTTCGGGATGTGATCCCTGAGAGGCTTTTTCTGGTTCGCACACCTATAAGGGAGTAGAATATTGCCTAGTTGCGTCAGGGCATTGCTCTGCCTCTTCAGTGCTCAGATGCTGGTCCTCTTCCTCTCTCTTGCCACGCTAACTCACTCTTCAATCTCTCTATGCTTGAGGGCTCCTCAAGGGTTGTAATTTGGTGAACAATGGAAAAGAAAATATTTCAACAAACTACACGAATTTAGTGAGCATGCTTTTTGGATAGATCACTGATATTGTCAAGTTTTCTGATTTGCATTAATGGGGGTGTTGAGTATTCAAAATTGATGTTATGTTAGTTTCAAATGGCATAAAATTTATGTAGTTTTGCCTTCACTTTAGGATGAAATGTGATTTACAGAAAAAATGTGTTTATGAGTAAATTGAGCTAGAAAGTTGAGATCAGGGATGCTTGAAATGCATATAACGAGTAATTTAGTGAAGAAAAAAATTCAAAATTGATGTTATGTAGTTTCAAATGGCATAAAATGTCTGAGGCCATGAAATTCTAATGATTCATTTTATGCTAGAAAGTACTGTGCTAAGTGAAACTCCTGTTTTACATTGTTAGCTCCTATGTTTTATGTGTACAGAACAAATTAATTGCTTTTTTTCTTCAGGAAATGTAAGATGGTGTCAGATGGATGCCCAGGCACTGAAGAGGAAGGGAGGCTGAAAGCCTTTCTCGTCCACCTTCGCATTGAGGCTAGTATTCTTGACCGGATGGTCTACAAGAATAAGAATCAGCACCGCCGCTGCCACTACTTCCAATCCCTGCTTAAGGTAGCATGGTAGCTTTTCCCACTATTTCCAACAGGCAACTTCAGAGCTTGTTGGTGAATTTCCATTTACGTTAATTTAATTTTCAGGTGAGGAGAGATGTTCAACTTCTATTGTCTGCTAGGCTGGAAGACATCTTGACCTCTACATCCCAAGTCATCCATGGAAGGAACCCTGCTCAAAGGATTTATCTTCTTGAAAGGTAATCTGGGTCTTTTTCTTTCTGTTGATTTAATTTTTGAGGCATCTATAACTCCTATATTTTTGGTATTTTAGAATCCTTTCACCATAAATATCTTCGCACCTGAGTAGTTTCATTTCCACTCACATCCATTTCTTTATTCCATGTCATCAAACTTCCTGGCTCTAGGTGTATGAGGCAGTTGCTCACTCCCCCTTTTAGAGTCACTCCCTTTTTGATATGAGTAAAGAGCGAACAGTGTTTGCCAAAGGCTTGAAGCACATTCACATTAACCTTCTAACACGCCATCTCAAACTGGTGCCTAAATACCTGTCATGGTCAACGGACCAAATCTGTCAGACTGGTGCAGTAATATATCTATTTCCCTTTTTTTTATATAGAAGATCCTTGTTAGTAAAGTAAACCCTCTTTATATCAAGATTCTCAAGCCAACATCTCATTGATACTTCTTCAGTTTCTGTATGACTTGACTCGTCTTTACTGAAACGAATGCAATTTTAGGTGTGGTTACTGTTAAATAAATCAATTCACATGTTAGTTGTCCATATTTTATCAGTCGTCATTGAAGTTCTCCTAGGAGTATCTGTTGGGCTTAGCTCCCAACGTTATAGTCTTTTAAAATAGATCCATTATGCTTTGAGATAAAGGAGTCTCTGTTCCATGAGAATACTTTTATTCACAAGAAGTATCTCATTTGTCTAGATGAGATAAAGGAGTCTCCTTTGTCATTTACCTCATGAGATAAAGCATCACTTATATCATACTATAATCTTCAATGTTGTTATGTCTTCTCAACGTCTTCAAAGTCATTGTTAGATGGCATCTTATCATTCATTTAGAATCAGAAGGATGGCAACTTTGAATGTTTCCTGACAAATAAATACATTTAGCCTTTTGGAAATGCAAAATGATAGGAGCAAGAGACTCTGGTTGCCGATGATACACTTATATGAAAATGGTAGGAGGATTGGAAGGAAAGACAGTCAAAGGTGACGTAATGAGTTATAGTTATTAATAAGTTGTAATTTCATTGTTATCAATAATGTACATGATAAATCTATTGGATGGACTTTGATATCTTTGATTCTATTTGTGTGAGCACATATGAGCGACTAATATTAGCATTTCCACCATTGGCCGACTGTAATTTATGTCAAGAAATAATTATAAGGTTTTTTTAATGTTATGTTCATTAGAATGATATTTCATGCTAGATGTTTTATTTCTATTCGGTTCATAATTTATACCATTGAGGAAATTTAATGAGTATTTATTTTTTCATTTTTCTTCGAATATACGTACATATTGTGACATTTATCAGACATTTGATTAGTTATATAGTTTAATTGATTTAAAGTCAGCATAGTCTAATTGGCTTAACTTAAACTATTTGAGCGATTTGTTTATCCAATTTCAAATGCTAAAACCTGATGAATGGAGAAGGACATCCCAATGTAAATGATCCAGAGAGATGCTTTGGTTCCTCTTTGAGGGTGGTGAGGCTGAACAATCATGTTTTTGAAAGCCAGGGTAATGACTGGCCCCTTTTTGAAAATTTCCTAATTCTCTTTTTATATCAACACATGGGAAAAAAATGTCTTTCAAGTGCTGAAAAGCCTTTTTGTTTAAGAATGGGATATTTTTGGGAAGAAACTCAACAATGAAGAGGAATTCTGTTTCTTAATATTTATGTAAATGGGATGATAGAGGATTTCGTCGAGTGGAATTATAAAGTTCGCTGTGAAAATTTTGAGCGGCCATGCACAGACTCACCAGCTTTCCTTACATCTAATTTTATATTGACATCATCCCACCAGGTGTATGTTAGTTATTATGATGTGTAATTCATTTATAAACGAATATCGTATGGACACCATCACAAATTTCCCGAGTCACATACATTAGGAGGTGGTTAGGTTTGGTCCTCCTGCGTAGTATTTAAGTATTCGAAATTTATAGCGGATAGACCATGATGGAGGCACATTTATTTCTGTCATAGTGGTTAGAATATTTCTGTGAAATTGTTGTTTGATGTATAGTACTTTGATGCTTCAATTCTGCCAAATAAAAAAAAAAGGACAAATGAAACTTTCCTTTATCAATCATTATCCCTCTACCTTTACTAGATCCTTGATTTTGCATGATTTTCATGCTGTTGTCACTCCAGACTCAAAAACCGGACACTTAGAGGAACTAATAATTTCCATGAGCGATTGTTGGGGGTTGCTCGCTTACTATCCCAGGTACCGACTGTCACTAGGTTTTCTTTCATTGGTTTTTGAGATGTTTTCTATTTACTTTGTTCTTCCCATAGTTCTCTCTCACTTTATTTACATATAAATGCCTATGTTGTGCTGATTGTTTTGCTATAGGTGAGGTAAATGCCAATCTCCTTCTTTGAGCTAATAAAATAAAACTTTAGCTGATTTCGAGTTATCCTATCGCTATACATCTTTCTTTTATTTTCAATATTGTTCTAATAAAAATCTCATTCCAAGCGTTTTTCATTGATGTAAGTTGTCATGCCATTTTTGCTCTTACCAACGATGTATCATGGGCATGGTATTCAACTATTTTGTTGAACCATTTCCGTGATGCTGTTATAACTTAATGTGGCTACTCTAAATGAGTCATCCCTTATTTCATTGCTCAATAAAAAGTGATAAAAAAGAAGGAAACGAGAACGAGCTATTCCCATTGGTCATTTTATGATTACTGCACATTATCCCCAGATTTGGATCCTCGGGAGCTCCGTGACAGTTTTGCTAGCAGAACCAGAGAAGGTTCTCTTGTTTGTGCCTTTATCACTAGATAACTCCTTATTCATCTTACAAGACATGTTTCTGCTGACTTATTCATCCGACTCGGTAAGACTTGTAGAATTTAGATGATAATATACCTCTTATACATGTTATAATTGGTTGAGTTGTTTGGTTAAAGTTTTAAAATCTCGACCATAGATGGTTTAGTTGGATTTTAAACAGAGTTAAGGCATATTTTCTTGTTCACTCTCTTTTTAGTACCAGGCTATCCAACCCTGGTGCACGATATTAATATCAAGTTTAACATCAGCATATGGAACTTTTGTTGTTCTCATTTTACCGGAATGCATGGATTAATCTGATTCTTATCTTGTCATGTTGATTATGACGAGGATACTGAGATCTATAAGCGTTTGAAAAAAAATTGCTATTGAAATAATTACTTCTGAACATATATTTTCGTCATTGATTAGCTTTCGTATCGGTTTAACATCAGCACGCTGAACAGATTTTTTATATTGTCGGTTCAGATTAAAAGCACATTAGGATTGGAAACCATCGAACACTGCAGACCAATCAGTCAGATCATTGAGCATCCAATCTGTCTACAACTAGTTTGATCAAGTGAAACTTTAAGTTCACTAGTCTCTGGATCTGGATACTTAACTGATACTACATTAGAAGAGAAACGAGAAAGGAAGTTCCTCTTTATCGCAGAGTTTGATTGGTTCCACATTTATCTGTTCTCTGGTTGTCACTTAAGCTGGACTGTTGAATTTATGGTCTCTAGGATCCTCATCTTCAGATTTTGCAAGTTTCTCTTTATTCTATGCCCATGTGAAACAAACACAATGATAAATGTAGGTGCGAAACTTTTCTCCCTAAGAAAGACATATTTGTGAAGTTTTTTGCTTTATTGCACTCCCCTATGACTTTTTGAACCTAATGAGACATTACGTAACTATGAGAATCATCATAATGATAATTCCTTCTTTCCCTTTCATTAAATTAGAAGGTGATTTAGTGGTCGCTTTGTGTTGCAGATAGTCGAAGCAATCCTGAGAGCAGCCACGTATCCTTTATTTTTAATTCACGCCAATATTTTAGTTTACGATCCATTTTACTGCATAATCTAATTGTTGTTAGAAAATATCTTTCTAATTAAACAGCAGAAAACTTTTCATGCTGCTTATTATGTCCGAGGTACTGGTTTCTGGTTGCCAATGTTGTTTATCTTAAATCTGTAGGGTAATTTTTTTGATGTCAAATTGATGGCATTATTTTCTCTGCAGTACAAAGGCATCAATTTTGCTCGTGTGCTTGCATGTCATTGTTCAGTGTCATTTAACCATTGATGTTGAGTTTCTCCTTCTTTGTCCATCAAAAAGTGAGAAGTGTTCAGAGAGCTAACTGTATAATTAGTTAGACTTTCAAATTGCCTTCAATAGGGGTTAGTCTACTCATTTGGAAGCCATTTGAATGTTACACGAACATTTTCGCTATCATGTTTTTATCAGGCCATATCGTAGACTGTAAAATACTAATTGCATTGCTATTAGCTTTTTTTTTTCTTCCGGTTCTCCAAAGATAGTTCAGTGTGCTTCAAAGGGTTTGTCAGTGATGAGTTATGTGCATCCTCTACAATATTTTCAGCCAGATATCTTCTCTGCTCGCAAAATCATTCTTCATGGGATTTTCTTTGACAATACTGTCACTGCTCGCACGCCTCCGAGTTCTTGTTCAACAAGTGAGTGTGGTAGCTGCTTGCTTGAATTTTCATTTATTCTTTTAATTCATTAGAGCAGTAAACCATTACCAAGAATTTGGTTGACTGTGTACCAACCTTCTGTTTTTTTTTTTTCTGAACTTTTTGGATAGATGTTGGTCGATTGTGTATCAATATTTAAAAAAGTTTCATCTTTATCTCAAGAGAGGCACTCAGTGAACCTTACCAAGAATGGAATTGAGGTTTGTCCTGTCCGTGCCCTTTCCCTAGTTTGATGCGGTAATTTCTTCTGTGCATGTTCTCCTTAGAATGTGCATCAATTTGGTCTGTGATTCACTTCAGAATATGATACTCCTGTTGTCTCCACTGGAATTTCATTCATTCTTCCTTGACTAATGCAGGCTTTTAGGGAGTATTACCCACCCAGTGGGCCAATCATCTCCTTGGAGTGTGCATGGGAAGGAGACAAGTTTGTATTGATTGAGAGGGAGCATTTCAATAACAGAGATGAGAAGGATTTCGGAGTTGCCTCTTTAGAAGCCCCAGATATGCAGTACGAAGTTCTTGGATTTGAAAGTGAAGGTTCATCCATTTTTCAACCTTCTCCTTGTAGAGTCAATGTTAGGCATTCTCCATTTCTAAATTGGGCAAAATTGTGTGACTCCAGATGGTTCCTGGGATCATGGAAACTCCCTAATTTATATTACTATCATGTTTCCCTGTTTATATTTGATATACCCTGATAACCTTACCATTCCAGCATGATTTCTGTTTATTTCTTATGTATCATGAGCCGATTCCTGACCTATTTTGATATAGTTAGTATAATAATAATAAAAAACGTATACTCGAGTTTTGTGACAGTGTCTTGTTTGGGATTGGATCTTTTCTTGAGAGCTGAACTCTATCTATTTACTTCAGAGGATGCTGGTGATCGCCAAGACCCAGAGAATATCACAATAAAACCTCTTGGAGAAGTGCCTTGCGAAGTTGATCCCCAAATAGCAGGGATTCCTGTCTCAACTCCCAAACTGATTAATGATCCAAGCCTGAAAAGAAAGGTGGCCTTTGTTTCGGTGACAAGAACCTCTGAAGAGAGCAAAATCAGACGAGACAAGAAGCCAAGATTGGACGATATGCCGAGTAGTAACCCGCAAACAGGTGACTCTAAAGATCCCTTTTTTAATATGCTCACTGCCGTAAATGTAAAGGGTAGTCTGTTTTGACCATAAGAGCTGTTTATTTTCTCTCCTACATTGTGGAGTTGATGTATAGCTACATAAATATCTATCAACTCCCGTCTAATACATACATTGATTCCTAGTTTTGGTGGGCATGCTCTCCCTCACCTCACTGATGAAAGTATAAGATACATAAGTTGCTATGTCTACTCATGTTTTTAACTGATGAAATACAGGCTTATACTTTCTTGGATCTCACGTTATATTTACCAATCACATTATCTACCCATTGAGTGGTGATCCTTTTTAATGATCTTAAGAAACAAAGAATTAAGGAAGAAACAAGGTATTAAATATGTTACATTTATGTCACTCTCTAACGGTAAGAAGCATAAAGATATAGTGTCATTTTGATCACATTATATGATGATACAAGATGAACACCGTTTCTTTCTATATGCTTTTATTAATCATACCACCTTTAGATAATTTCTAAAATCAAAGAGAATGGGCATGTTGGTTCCAAGGTACAAAAACCTGACTGTTAGAAATAATGTTACAGATTTGTACTAAAGAAAATAGTATTAGGTCGTGAATCAGTGTGTTCAAAATTTCTGCAACTTGTATTGTTTTCCAATGATGTCAAGACATAAAATATTATTAGTATGTTACCCTAGTTTTATTCTAAAATCATTTTCTTTACTTGTGAATTAATAAGTTTCACATAAGCATCAAAAGAAGGTTTTCCTAATGGCATTGTGAAATATTGCATTAATTAATACCTAGAGTTTGCACCTCCATTGAAACGAGAAGATTTGAAAACCAGTTCTTGTTATGTTTATAAAAGTTCTCAAGATTTGGCATCTTTATTTTTTTGGCCACCAAGTTTTTCCATAATTCGATATGTGGTGGACACGTCACTCCTACCCTAATGCAAATTGTTTTCTAAAAACTACTGACAAGTGCATCATAGGTTTGGCTAAGACTTTGTTGGGACTATCTCATGTGTTTTGTTCTAAGTGTAAACGACGAGGGAGAGTGCAGAAGGCATTGAGATGAGGCTCACTCGAGTTGGGCTCAATCCAATTTTACCTTGATTTTAACCCTAAAGAACATCAAAATGTATCAAAGTATGAGAAATTCAAATTGATGTGTTTGTATGTGATGACACTAAATTATGAGGTTAAGATGTAATATTTTTAAATGAGTTTCCTTTAATCTAGGTGTAAATAGTCTCCATGTTGGCTTTATGATGAACTAAATGAAGATCTCCATATTCCGATCCTGAGTTGCTGCGCAAGCATGATCTAATCACGGGCATAATAAGCTGCCGATATTTGATGTTTGAATCCTCCAGACTATCTCATACTTGTGTGGTTTGGAATTTGTCCTTTCTGATGATGAACTAAATGAGAATCACAATATTCCGAACCTGAGTTGCTGCGCAAGCATGATCTAATCACGGGCATATTAAACTATTGATGATTGGTGTTTGAATCCTCCAGATTATCTCATACTTGTGTGGATTTTTTTTGGTGAACGGAATGATAGTTTCAGTTTGCCTTGAAATCTAAATGAATCAGGGGTTGCCATGAAATTGAATGCATTATTTTTATTACCATAACAGTGAAACTGGAGATGAACTACAGTCAGTAACTTTATGAAAAAAAACACAATTCTTTATCGTCTGGGAAAAGAATATACAGAAATTCACAATTCTCCTGATTAATAGACAAAGACGCCCTGCCCAGAGAGACAGACAGACAGACAGACAGACAGACAGACAGAGGACTATTTTCCGCGTCCCTCATCTAAATTCGATTAAACCCAGACAAAGAAGAAGTAAACGAAAATGAGGAACTCAAGCATCCACGTGCTCCAGAGGGAGAAGAAACCCTGCCCAGGCACTGAAAGAACTCCATGAAACCGGGCAGCTTCTTCCCAAGGTCAGCAGCTTTAACGGCGACGGCTCTCGCCGCCCCTCCGCCGTCGATCTCAGAAGCGGAGTCGCCATCTCCGGTGAACCCGGTGCAATTTCCCTTCTTCTTTTACCATCCGGCGACGCCCCCATCGATCGACACCGCCGTCGCCTCCAGGCCAACCCCACAACTGCTCCCTTACCTTCGTCACGGTGGCGGCGCCCTCTCTATCCTTCCCCACGAATAGAGGCACCACTTCGTTGACCGTGTGCACCCGCAGCGTCGTAGCGTCGGGATTGGCGGCTCCACCGTCCACAGAGAACTCGACGACGGTATAGGAGGGCTCCAAAGGGCGGAGAACAAGTCAGAGGAAGAGGATGATGAGGCCCAAGAGGAGGAGCAGCACGCAGAAGCCCTGCGCCGCCGGGATCTCCTCTTCCCTCAGACAGCCGTCAACTCCTCGAAGGGCCGTTATGAAGGGGGGCCGTCGTAATTTCGCATCAACGGTTTGGTCCCCTTCATGGAGGACGTGGAAGGGTGGTCGCCATCTTCGCCGCCAGCGTCAAATATGGCAACCGCCGCCGCCATGACGCATGCAGACAACCGACGTCGGAAGGGTCTCTTCCATGTTTTAACCACCGCCGATCGTCGACGCTACCATTCTAAACAGGGAGATTCAGGGTTTTGCTCGTTGACTAGACGGCAGTTTGTTCAAAGTAACCGAACCCACCATTTTTTTTCTAGAAGAGAGAAACAGAGAGAGAGAGAGAGAGGATTGGTTGTGAAGATCGCCTGTGAGCAGTGTCGACGTCCGGACCATTAATACGCTGTGGGTTCTTACGGGTTCTAAAGAACCATGAAGATGAATTATTATTGAGGTCAACATTCCCATAAAAGGTTCAAGCAATAGAGACGACATGAAGTCTCATAGATGCTTAATCGAAGAAATAGTTAAAAACATTTCATAATCACTGATTCTCTTTCTCTCTCTCTTTCTCTCTCCCTCTCTCTCTTTCTGTATGCGTCTCCTTTTCTATATTGTGCTCAAGCTCTATTTTAGGGTCCCTTAAAAGAAATTTACAATGCGAGGCGGAAAAATAGATTTACAATGCGGGTTCACAACTAAACTGTTCTGATGATCCAAAATTTTCTTCAGTCTTAAGTGTGATTCTACATGGTAGGAAGCGACTGTTGGCACAATTGCTTGGAATACAAACCCACCGAGAGGGCCAAAACTAGCCGTTTTTCGCATAGAAGAATGCTCATACAAGCGTTCCTATAATATATATTATATCAATAATTTAGGTACAAGACTTTCAAATAACGCACGCATTTTGTGCAGAAGGGCCCGAGGAGTCTAATGGGGGGAGAGAGCGAGAGAGAGAGAGAGAGAGAGGTGTTCAGGATGGCGGAACGTCGCCGTTGATCTTGTCAAATTGGGACGTCCAGCTTCGGGAAAGATCCCCATCAAGATCCAAGTCTTCATTAGGTCTTATGCAAGGTTCTGATCTTTATTTCTAGAGAGAGACTTCGACGACCGACAAACCCAGATCAAACCGTGGTCATTCATCGTTGGTACAACTTGATGCGACTCGGTAACAAAGGATTGCCTAGCTTGGAGAGAGAAAGAAAGGAAGCAAGCAGCCTCCCGCCAGAGGTCGCGTCTACAACCCGGTTATCCCGGGGGCATTATTCTCATTGAGTTTTCAAAACCCTCCATCCTCACGATAAATTTGACCCTACTCTCTGCAACTCGCAGAGAGAACGATCAGACCTCTTTTCTCTCTCTCTCTAGTTGACGCGGGCACAGTTCTTCCTGATCTCCCCCTGGCTTCCCGTGAGGACGGCGATGTTGCCCATGTTCACCATGGCCTCGGCGAACTCCCTGAAGAACACCGAGTTGTCAGACTCGGCGAGGCGGATGACGTGGGACCTCGTGTCAGCGTCGTCGAGCAGAGCGGCGTCAGACTGGAAGAGCCCCCTGCGCTTGGCCACCAGCTTGAAGTAGCTGTTGTCGAAGGTGGTGAAGCTCCCCGGGTCCATTTCCACAAGCTTGAGGGCGTCGCTGGTTCCTTGGGCACACTTAGCCCTCAGCTTGGCCAGATAGTTCCTCTCCAGCGATGGGTCGGTGTCGGAATTATCACCTCTCCCGGAGAAGTTGTACAGGCGGCCCGTGAAGGTGAAGCAGTGGGCGTTTCCGATTGTGTGTCCGCCTGCGAAATGAGTCCGTGAATGGTGGAAGGAAGTGTGGAGTTGGATTTTGATTGACAGTGAAAGGAGGAGAATGGTTCAGTACCTGAGAGGAGGACGAGGTCCTTGGCGTCGAGGCCGACGTCGTCGAACTGAGACTTTAAGGTAGAGATGTTGGCGCTGAAGGCGGGTAACAGTCGCAGGGCTTCGGTGTCGATGGAGACCGACCCGTCCCTGCGCCCCGTGGGGACTTCCCAGAATGGGCCCTGGTCCTGCAATGGCGGAAGAGGAGCCCCAGGGGATGGTTAAAGTTAGAAGGAACGGCGAACAAAAACAGGCGTCAGAGGAGAGGAGGGAGGGGGCCGTCGTCTCTCTACCGCGTGCACGACGTCTCTCGCAATGAGAGCAAGGATATCGGCGCAGGAGACGGTGGAGGGGCAGGCCCTCTCCAGCCTCGCCTTGATCCTGTCGACGAGAGCGAATCCCCTGAGGAACTGGTTCGGCGGAGCGTCCTTCTCCGTCGGGTTACTCGCGCTGGTAGAGTTGAGTAGAAGGGAGGCGTCGCATCCCTGCAAGAGCAGATGGGCCCGACACACGTTAGAGCCCGGGTTTCTCTCTCCTTCTTTCTCTCTCTCGCTCTGCTCGGAAGGAGAGTCATTGTGTGTTTGACGTGGTGAGACTTACTCTGACGAAGCAGTCGTGGAAGAAGAGCCTGAGGAGGGGGCCTCCAATGGAGGGGGCTACCCTGATGGCTCTGTCGATCTCCTCGGTGATGATAGATTCGGCATGAGGGCATGATCTGGAGTAGAATCCAACTCGGAGCTGGGCCTCTGCTGATCCCAGTACGAAGAGAAGAGAGAGAGCGAGAGATGGCAAGAGGGAGAGGCGACCCATGGAGACCGTCTCTCTGAGAGGATAGGGAGGAGATTGCGGAGG